CCACTAATCAACGTCTCAAGTTGCCCCAGCAGACTGGTTTCCGAAAAGGAAAATCTTGTATTAACAAATATCATTTTAATCTCAATCAAAACTCATTTAAGCAGATATGAATTTCGGAAATGAGGGACAGTCACAAATGGGGGTGCAACATTTTCGTTGGCCCGCCATGTACAATCATTTATGGATTGAAGGCAGTGTCAACCTACTTGACACCCATTTTTTAGCAGCAATAAAGGACGAGATGCAAACTTGCAACTTTCCAAGTCTTCTCATTTTTGAGGAAAATTATCGTGAAACGTTGTCTGCGAGTGAATTTACTTTTTGTAAGCCGTACACTCTTCTCATAGGTTACCGCTCAGCGCAGCTGTGTGAGGAGAATTTCTGCTTAAAATCCGTGAAATTCCGTTTAAAAATACGGCGTGATCTAACGAGGGACACTAGCAAATTGATGCTGATGTCATTAAAATGAGCCACGGCACATTTTTCATAAGAATTATTAATAGTTTGACCTGGCCCATCAAGGTGTTATGTTCATAATCTATCTGTTACAAGGTATCTTGGGTGAAAATGAATTATAGCTAAAGTTTGACATGAAATGTTTAGGAATTTATTTAATACTATATACTGTATTAGATCGGTAAAACCAGAATGCAATGAAACAATAATGAAACAAATGGAACGAACACAGAAAAATCGCTGAATATTAAGTAAACATATTCATATTGTTTTGCCTTTACAAATAAAGTGCTGGTGGAGAAGCTTTCAACATTATATCAGCATATATATATACAGGGTGACTTTGAAGTTGAGTCATTAATTTTCAGATAATGATTGTAGAAGGAAGATAAATCAAAATATGTGTGTAAAAATAAAAAAATTTTTTTACCTTGTTTTATAAAGTATCCTCCCGACAAGTATTTCAGTGCGGACCTGTATTTGATCGTGAGGCCTTGGAGCACCGGCATGCCGTCCCCTGTGAGGTCTTAAGTCACGTGATTCACGAGCCCGTTGTACTACATTAACAAAGGCGCGAGGGGTTGGTTGCAGTCGATTGGGAAACCGATCCGCATAAACATGTGCCATTTTTTATTTCGTTTTAGCCACGCAACAGGCACCACTATTCACTCACGCGTTACCGACTGACACTGACTGTATACAACTGAATAAAATAATTGAAAAAACATCGTTCCAAATTCTTTCGCTTTTTTGTTTCCGATGCGATGAACCGATAAGGCGGATTATATCCGTTGTTGCCAAACACGAGCACATAATATTATTATTGAGACAGGGCGGTACAGGTTTTCATTTTATACGTCACCTATATTTTCTATGATTTAATTTTTGATCTCGCTTACGTCGAAATCGGTCGCTTTAGAGAAAAATACCCTCCCGGCCATCAATCAAACTCATTTGATTTGCGTCTGCTCATTTCGAAAATGTCCTTTTTAACGTTGTGTCTAGACGTACCGAATATATTAACATGTTAATTCTTACGTCGGCCGCTTTTCAAAATGAGGCTGTCGAGATTCACTTTCGTCGATGTTGTCTTGTCAACGAGATAATGAACGTCCTCGCATCCGCGACACTCAAGTTCAAATACAGGGCGTTACAGAATGAGGACAGTTTATCGCCGAATAAGGTCTTTATACTGTTTTCATACACAGTGTTACATTTTCTATGTCATTTAGTATGTGGTATTTTGACTCGACTTTTTTGGTATCATTTGCTGTTGAATACACCAATCCCGCTGCTTAAACTGTACTTTTTGAGCCACATCTTACTTACGTAAAAGCACAGCACAGACCCAATTGTTATTCTGCTTACCTGGAAAAAATAAAAGGTGTCAGTAAGGAAATCAATTCAAGTTAGAATCAATTATAAACCTTATTTTATATGTATTCATCTACCACCTAAACGAAAACGTATTTTTAGGATACTCAGATCCTCCTCTGTCCAGTTTCTTGATTTCCAGTATAAAGGACCACTAAATATTCTCACGAGAAAAGTGATTTCCGTGGATTTGTTAGAAACTTTAGGGTTGCGTTCTCTATGTGACGATTATCAAATGTTCTCACTGCCTGGACGCGATTTAAAGTGATCCAAAAAGTTGCCTTATACAGGAAAACCGAAAAATCCGTAATTTTCTTTTGCAAAGCAGATAGCTTATGAGTTTGATGAGTTAATTACATCACAAATGTCAATCTCTACCTCCATTTTATCCCTTATTCCTCTTCAAAGTAGGAGAAATATCCCGTATGAAGGGTTATTCTTGAAGATGTCTACCTATGTGCCCCCAAGCTTCCAAACTCGCAAAAGCTTTATCAAAAAATCTATAGAACGCCTTTCAGGTTTTCCGCAATTGAATAAGAATTATCCGAACGTATCACCAGGAGCTATAAATAGCTCGTCAGAGCTAATCGATAAGTTCCATCAAGAAGCCCAAGTGAAAATGAAAGGCCAGTCATCCGCAACACGCTGTGAAAAAAGCTTTTCCACTGCGAAAAATTATAACGACACAGCAACGCGGGGTCTTGAACGTGGTAAAAAGGAAAACGTGTATCGCCGGTGGGCAAATTGAAATATCCGCTTTTGAGGCTTTTCATCGGATTTTACTTTTGAATGATCCCATTCATATACGTTTTAAACCCTCTTTCAATCAAAATAGGTTGTTGAAGATTTATTTAGCATTAATGCTACAATGTGAATTTTGTATAATGATTCGGTTACGTATTTTTCTTCAATCCATTTTGTCTATTAAAACTAAAATTACGTCACTATGCATTTTGATTAATCATCAAGTGATTCTTTAATTTCACCTTAAACATTTTTAAATTCGAACTCTGTTTAATATCATTACTAAATTTATTAAATCCAAATACTCCCTTTTGAAATATAGATTTACTAGTTATGCTACTATTACAATTTTGCAGATGAAAATCTATACTGCCTCTAGTTTCGTAGTTATGATGAAAATGTGGGGGTAATAAATGATTTTTTAATTTCAATATGAAAACGAGAACTGAATAATATATGAAATTTTTCACATACAACCACTGCAGTTCTTGTAACATAGACTTAATCCTAGCATATTTGTTTTTATTTAAAATGATTCTCATAGCTTTATTTTGTCGAATTTGTAGTTTTTAAAATATGTTTTCATTTGCTGTAAACAAGATGGTTGAACAACATAAAAAATGGGGAAGAATTATAGTGTTATACACAATTTTTTGGAATACATACTAAGATTATGGGAAACTCTATAGAAGCAATTCATCTTTTTCGATATTTTTGAAATAATGTATTCATAATGTTCGTGAAACAGTAGCTTACTATCCACATATATACCAAGATATTTAAATGACTCGACTACTTCAATTTTTTCATCATTAATCATGAGCCTAATTGTATATCGTCACCCAAATGTTTCCCTATTGACATACATTTTGTTTTATTGGTGTTTAATTTAAGTTTATTGACATTTAACCAATTCATAATTTTTTCAATATCACTATTTAACAGTTCTAAAGCAGCGTCCAAATGCTTATGTGCTATATATATAAGTCCGCAAATATTTGAATTTTGCAGTCTTCTCAGATGTCAGAGATATCATTTATATATACTAAGTGACATATAAATCTGAACACCCAGTTTAAATGGTTTTATTTTAATAAAAGTTGGTGAATGTATTTATCTTACTGTAAATAACAAGTGATAAAATTTTCAGCCTTATGTGTAGACACTGTGGTTAGGTGTTGTCAGGCATGGCTTCGAGAAGGCCGTACGCAAAGAGCAAGGGGCACTGGACGCCGCCGTAGAACAACAGACCGTGAAGATCGCCGCCTAAGATTATTGGCCTTAAGGGACCGTTTCTCCACTACCAGGTCCATTGCAAATGAATGGTTTGCAGAACACGGAAGACCTATTGGCATGCGAAGTGTTTACCGGCGAATGAGAAGTTTTGGCTTGTTTTCATACCGGCCACACTGGATCCTCCCTTTAACTCGAGAACACCGACGTAATCGCCTTGAGTGGTGCAGACAACGGTCACTCTGGGATCAGGAATGGAACAGTATTGTCTTTAGTGACGAGTCTCGATTTTGTTTAGGCATGCACGATGGTCGTGCCAGGGTTAGAAGGCGACGTGGTGAAAGGAGGAATCCACAGTTTTTTGTTGAAAGACATGTTCATCACACTGTTGGAGTTATGGTTTGGGGTGCTATAGCTTACGGTTCCAGGTCACCTTTAATCTTCATCAAAGGTAACATGAACGCGCAGCGTTATATCCACGAAGTTCTAGAACCCCATCTTTTACCCTATCTTGACACCCTTGCAGATCCAACTTTCCAACAAGATAATGCGCGACCACATGTTGCAAGAGTCACAATAGACTTCTTTCAACATAATGATGTCACATTGTTACCATGGCCACCAAGATCTCCCGACTTATCCCCAATTGAGCACGTGTGGGATATGATGGGTAGGAGATTGCTCAATTTGCAACGTCCTCCTCAGACTCTAGAAGCACTTCGAGAGGAGTTGGTGGTTGCGTGAAATGAGATACCACAGGAGGACATTGACCACCTGATCAGAAGCATGCCTAGGCGCGTTAAAGAATGCGTAGCACATCAGGGTGCATCCACACATTATTAAAGGTCAAAGGGCTTTAAAGCAGTGCAATCATTTTGAAATTTGTATCATTTACTTATTATGCTTCATTAAGTTATTAAAATAAAACCATTTAAACTGGGTATATATCCATGAGTAATCACTTATCTTTGGGGTATGCCTAACTTCAACAATTAGATTTTGTTCATTGGTTACGAGCGAATCTATTTTTGTTTTCGAAAAGTTCGTAATCCTTGTATATTCATTTATTTTCCTAACGTATTATTAAGCACATTACCCGAAACTCTAATGACTGCAACTGACGCAAACTGGTAAGAATAAAAATATGGACCTGCAGAATACGATAAACAGGTGTTCATTTTGTTCAACAAAGTCAATGAGTTCACCAATCTTTGTCATTAATGACACATTTCTCTCGACGAAATAAGAAAATATGTTCACGGCATCTTTGGTTGATAAGTTTTGGGTAAGCGGTGCGAAATACGAGACATTAAAGGTCGAAATAACGATTTTTTTTACAGAAAAAGTTCAATCAAAAACTGGACGAATTTATCCTGTATGATTTTCGAAAATTTCCTCCGGTACCGCCAAAAAGTTTACCGCCTGCGAGACCTATGAAGTTCCCATACACTTTTTCTGGTAAGCACCGACCTGCTCAAACAAAAATGTATTTGTTGGAGTTTGGTTTTCAAAAGTATGTGGCATTTTATGCCTTGTTAATTTGGGGTATGGCCAAAATAGGAAAATTCCTAAAATATCTGCAATAATAATTAATTTTGTGATATTAAGTTCTCATTATTCATTTTAATGTCAAACTATAGTGAGTGTAATAATAGTGTGAATACTAAGTATTCACAGAATACTGATTTGTGGTGATTTTTTTTCCAGCCAAGATAGCACAGTTTCCATACAGATACTACTTCAAAAACCAATGGATATTCCATTACTATGTCTACGCAGTTGGGTTGTGTATCCCGATTTTCATGTACATTAGTAGACTCGGTGAGTACTATTCGAATCTCTTGTTTGAAAAATTGCAAAGCAAAATATAGCGGTAAAAGAAAAAGACAGTTCGTGAGAGCGTCCCGAGATTGTCCGTTGGAAAAAAGTCATCGATCAATCGGATAGCCCTCTTCTCAACAGCATCTAGCATAGATATTGATAATATCTCTAGCTTCTCACAATAATTATAAAACTAACTGCTTTCTGTGTTGTCATATTTGTCAGTATAAAGTATAAAGATTTGGTACTTTTTTCACATGTATTTCGTTTTCAGCGAATTCCGAAGAGAATAAAGCAAAATGGAAGGCGATAAAACAAAAAGAGAAAGAAGAATATTATCACAAGTTCCACTGATGTGATTTATATTTTATTTACCTTATATTTCAAGACAATTAAAAAGTAAATCCGGTATGTTCGATTCTCATATGCAGCGCCATCCATTTTCGCTACATGCCGTAGAACCGTCTTTAGGCGCCAGTGTTGCCACATCTCGGACTGTTCGACAAGTTATGGGACTTATTTGGCCGTTGTTGGACACAGCTCGAATTTTCGTCCACTATTAGACCTAAAACTTTTATGTTTGGCACTCTTTCCAGTGACTTATTGTTTATTGTAAACGGGGTCAGCTGGAAAGCATGGAGACATAAATTGATAAAAACTCAAGCAAGCCGCCTGCGCCGTGCCGGTACAAAGAAACCTGGCTAAAACGGGCGTACGTACAATATACATAATATATGTATGTGCGAATGGAGTATATTCGTAGTCCCATTATACCTCGAGTGCGTGCCTGAAAGCCTGAATACGCAGTCAATAAGCTGTTGGGGTAGGTCGCATCTGGCCTCTGCATACAGAAGTCTTTTAAGTGTGTCATTCGAGACACGAAGCGGTGTTGTCATGTCTTTTGACGCGTACACACTCGGACTAGCGACACTTGGCTGTCCAGATAATTTTAGGAGATTCTGTGTTGTTTTGATGCCTTATACGTCGACGATCTTTGCAGTTTTTGCAACAAGCTTATGTTTGCCGAAGCTTTACTCATCTTTTTATAGCTTCCAAGATTGTGACAACCTCCAACAACATTTTTTTCACAAATTTGGTGTATCAACATTGGAATGGTTCACAATCATTTTTTAAGACAGCTAAAAATAATATCTGTATATACAGATATCAACCTAAACATTAACAAGATACAGGATGTTTACAATATCTGAAGGGCAACATACACAAAGCAGTAGTCGAATAAACATAGAAACACTCGAAAGGGGCTTTCTCCTATTAACAGGACTGCCGCAACTCATACGTAAAATATGGTCATTAGGTTCCGTATACACCAATAACTATTTTAACCTTAACCCGGAAAGTAAAATTTTTAACTTAACCATACAAAATAAATGATTCTGTATTGGAAAAGTGTGAAAGTTTCAAAGGTGTAGGCGTGTTTTCTTTTATTACTCAGCTCACCTTCAACTATCACAATTACAAGTAATGCGTATCGCACATGCGTATTTATTATCAGAAATCGTAGAAATTTCAATATCACAACGGTTATTAAGCTACTAGATTGTTATTATGAATATGGGTATAGTCCGGTTCCGTTTGGACTATAGAATATAGAAATTCTGAATCTATTCGAAAATGTTTATTCTCACGCGTAAAAAAGGACAATTCTATTTGGCGTGATCCAATATTGGATGAAGCGATCGTCATAAAGCCGAAAATGGCACGTTTTGGACGTTCCGCTTGCACGCGCTCGCTTTCGTAATACGATCATACCTACAATACCCCGCCTAACAGGAATCGCGAATCTCGAGCGAAAATCAAAATATAAACTTCAAACTAAAAATATCTGCATATCTTTGAATCTTCTAAGGAGACTTTGGTGTTTCGTTTTGCGAAAAAAAATCGTAGCTATGTCGATCCGTATCGAAGAAGACAAACGGCTGCCACCGGTACTTTTGAGGCGCTCAAAGTTTACTTTTTCGAAATTTGACGGTAATTCTAACGGTCAGAATCGTTTCCTCAGCTCATTATCGTTATTTTTCGATAGCTATATATTTTTTACTCGCTCACGTTTAGTAGTAATAGGCGAGGACATAGCCGGAAGACAAAGTGACTTTTTCACGCATCGAAAAGTAGCAATTTTAAAAAATCGAAACTTTCGAACGAAAAGGGATAAAGAAAAAAAAAAGACGCTATCTTTGAGTCCGATGTCCGGACTTTCTCACGCAAAAATCGCGAGGTTCGTAGCTCCTTGATCTTCGGAGGAGATCGATGTCGAACGTCGAACAGCACGGAAATCTTACCGTTTTTTCAACTTCACCGGCCATTTTCGATAGCGTTTGTTCCTCCTACCGCGACGGCTGCCGTTCCCCCGTAAAGCGCCGAGTTTCTAGTTTCCGAAACGGTATCGTTTTTCTTCCGAACGTTTCGCAAACCCGGAAAAAACCGGAAAAATCGGAAAGTAGCGCGTTGTCGAGGAATTCAAAAAAATCGAAATTTTCGAACGAAAAGGGATAAAGAAAAAAAAGGTAGACGCTATCTTTGAGTCCAACGCCCGGACTTTCTCACGCAAAAATCGTCAGGTTCGTAGCTCCTTTATCTTCGGAGGAGATCGATGTCGAACAGCACGAAAATCTACCGGTTTTTTCGACTTTACCCACCGTTTTCGATCCGGTTTCTTTCTCTCACCGTACCGGCTCTCGCTCCCCCGTAAAGCGCCGAGTTTCTAGTTTCCGAAACGGTATCGTTTTCCTTCCGAACGTTTCGCGAACCCGGAAAAAAACCGGAAAAACCGCGTCGACGTCGACCGTTCGGATCCGCTCTCGAAATCTACGCCCTACCTAAAAACAAAAGATGACTCGTTAATATAGTCGATTTTCAGTGCTTGCTATGAGTAAATTAGAAATACCGACGCAATTATTTGTACTACTCGACAAACATAATTTTGAAGAAGTGCAAAAGAAATGTCTGTATATCTGTGCTCTAAGAGTGATGATGTCTTTCCTCCAAGAGGAAATGAGTACTGATTGTTAGCGAATGGATTTGGTCTCCTTTCGTCGGCGTCGATCATATACTCAGTGCCATTAGAAAATAATTTCCTCAACTTGTTCTTTTGGCAATGAGGTAGTCTTACATCAAGAATGGAACGATAACATTCGCAATAAATTTTATTGACAAGTAATCAGAAAATAAAATAATGTGTTGGGCGAGCCCGCAGCTAAATACCATCCTGTACATGTACATTTTAGGTTTGGGTGCTACCCCGTCCATTTTCTAATGCGATTTTAAACTTCAGCGGTAAGTTCTCTTTCGTATACCATCGAACTACGTCCATCAATGCATGTCCTGAAGAAGTTTGTTCAATGCTTCTAGTGGAAAGGCATTGCGGAGAACCGCCATTCACACTCCTCCAGCTTTGTTTTGTAGCTGCCTTGTAGCTGTTTCTCAGCCGACTTTGTTGGAAGCCATCTCTTCCCTTTGACAAAAAAACCCTGATGTGAACAGGTAAAATATCATTTTAGTTGGGTATTTTGTGGATGTTGATATTGATTATTGCTGAATGAAATTCTTAGAGTGTTGGCATTTTACCTATTCAAATGTAGGGGGCCGTGCTTACATGTCATCTTTAGGGCTTACTACAATATATTGATCATGATTTTGAACCGCCATAACTTATTTTAGAACAAGGGTATGTCACTTTGGTAAGTTTTTTATCTTTTCTTACCTTTGCTTTACTTTTCTTGTGAAAGGGAATGTACAAGGATTTTTCTTCTAGTTTTGAGTGTTTTAAATGTGTAGTTCTGTCTCAGACAGAGAATAGAGCGTAGATTTTTAAACAGTATTTCTCTCTAGGGTTTTTTTATACCTTGTGACGTTCTTCACGTTACTGCTCGCTACTGACCACCTGTTGTGCTGCTTGTTTTGATAATATATTGTGATTTTTTTTAAATATCTTGTTTTATTTGGCTCTCTGTATACAGTTAATTAGGTTTCATCATTGCTGTTAGATTCTTTTTCGTCTTGAGTCACATTTATATGAATTCGTTAATCAATTTATAAAAGGAAAGAGGAATCACACCACCATTTTCTCTTATTTATAAAAAAAAGCGTTGCACAAAAACAAAGATAAAACGTTGACATTGTTGCAACAGTATGTTTTCAATATATGATGCAAAAAAAGTTGAAGAAATTATTTTTTCCGGGTGTAACACTTCTAATGACACTGAGTATATTTTTATACAAATTACAATATGGTAACATCGACTGCCCTGTTTTGCCATCGCAACCATTTATTTTTTTTTTTTAACTCAACAAGATTTGGACTTCCTACCTTCCTTTTATAGTATTTCACGTCAGCTCCTGTATTTCGCATTATAATTAACGCTTTTTCAAGAGCTGCCACCTCGTTACGGATAATCCTTTGGTCTCTTGATTACGAATAGCTGAACGGATTCAAAGCATCCTCCAGAATGTGATAATTATAAGCAAAAAAATCCACAAGCTCTACAACCCAAGAATATTGTAAACAGACCGCGCTGAAACCCTTGTGGGCGTATTATGAATATTCATAAGGAGCCACCTGGTTGGTTACTTGATTTTCAAAGTATACCGATTCACTAATAGCAAGGTCATTCGTCTGTCAAATCGGAAACGACTGAGGCACTGTTTTCATCAAACGCAATCGAACTGCATCTTTATTTCAACTCGTCTTCGATTGTAGTCGAATTCTCACCGAAAGCAACTAACATCCTTGTTTTGAGGTTGTAGAAAAAAATTACCAAGTACGAACTATGTCTCAGAGACCAAGACTAGACCTATGCTGATGAGTTGCCAAAAAGCGCGAGACATCTACGCATTGTTGGCTGTCTGTGGTCGGACAGACGAAAGCATCAGGTCAAGTCTAGTCTATTAATCAACTTTATATACCGCCAGAACTGTCAGCCTCCAGTGGTCGATTCTTATTTGAACTATCAGCCTCATTTTGATGTTGTATGCAAAGATGATAAGTAGGTACTTACTAATCAGAATGCGGATTACAGACTATTGAGGACCTTCAATGATATAAAAAGTAGTAAAAGTAACGTTTTTCACAAAAAGCATAGATCACCATACAGGTATTTTTAAGTTTTATTTTTACTACTGCTTTGGGAGAAAA